AAGACGATTAGATTAAGGAATCTGCAATCCTAAAATCCTATGGGAAGGGATGGAAAGAGGTCCGCGACGTAGGAAGTGGTGAAGGAAGTAGTAAAGGCGAGCAGTCTGGAGTGTGAAAACTGTTTATGACGATTAGATTAAGGAATCTACAATCCTAAAATGCAATGGGAATGGAGGGAAAGAGGTCTGCGACATAGGAAGTGGTGAAGGAAGTAGTAAAGGTGAGCAGTCCGGAGTGTGGGAAATGTTTATGACGATTAGATTAAGGTATCTATAATCCTAAAATGCTATGGGAATGGAGGGAAACATGTCTGCGACGTAGGAAGAGGTGAAGGAAGTAGTAAAGGCAAGCAGCCCGGAGTGTTGGAACTGTTAATGACGATTAGATTAGGGTATCTGCAATCCTAAAATGCCATTGGAAGGGGGAGAAACAGGTCCGCGACGTAGAAAGTGGTGAAGGAAGTAGTAAAGGCGAGCAGTCTGGAGCCTGGAAACTGTTTATGGGAACTACATTAAGGTATCTACAATCCTAAAATGCTACGAGAAGGGAGGAGAGGAAAACAGGTCCATGACGTAGGAAATGGTGTAGGAAGTAGTAATGCTAGCAGTGCAGAGTGTGGGAACTGTCTGTGGCATTTATGTATATGCAATTCTAAAATGGTATAGGGAAGGAGGGCAAACAGGTCCACGACGTAGGGAGTGGTGAAGTAAGTAGTGAAGGTTAGCAGTGTGGAGATTGGGAGTGGATTAATGTATCTGCAATACTTTTCAGAGTAAAGTAATAATTTTCCCCGAGCAAGGCTCGGTCCCCAGGTACTACATCAATAAATTGAATAGGCCTACGCCTGTAATAAATAAGGTGCAACACCACTAACTAATTTGTAAATTACTGTGATGTGTTGGTACGTAAAAATGATTCTTGCTGCTACCAATGGTTAAAAGGAAAAGAACCAATACCGTACCAAAAACAACGTTTACAGTTAAGAACTGTAGTACATCCGACCAATAATATGCGTTAATCAAGGTTATTGATCTCTTGGTTTTGGATTTTCTCGTAAAAAGTTATCGGCAATCAAAGTTATTTCCCATTAATTGCTTTATTTGTACACAACTCTTAATGTAAACTTATCGGTGTCAGTTTTAAAAAAACAACCTTATACAATATAAGCTTTCTGTTATTTAATAGATTACATATTCTCTAAACAATGATTGCTGGTATATCTATTAACATTATAAGGAAATGTGACATAAATCACACAACGTTGGGTTTTTGGACGTTTGTAATTTTATTTCTTAAGTACCTAGGTAGGCCGTGTATTCTATGGAAAAGTACCGGTATCAAGGATCGTTGTCGAAAAGGTTGCTATAAATAATTGGGTAAGCGTACGTACCCAAGAGATGGGCTATGGGCCTATTGGCTGTATGGTCCAGCGATTGCATCACACGGTTAGTAGGAACTATTGACTATATATAGTCAACGGTAGGAACAGAAAGTGACACATTGGAAAATCGAGCTTAGCATCATCCGTAAACCTCTGTTACAATCACCCTCTGCAGTTGTGATTTTTTACTTCACACTTAACACAACCGCCATTGAAGAGCCGTCAATGAGTGGAACCTTGTTTCTAAGCTATTGGTGACGATCATTAGTGAATTTAAGTTTCCCAGCCGTACACAACACTGATTCAATGTCTTCTTTCTGGTTATCAAAACTCCAGAACAATTTGATACACAAAGAATCTCTGGTTCCTGACCTGGATGATGTCTAGTTATTTAATTAACGATTACACTATATCATTCCACTTGCGATTAATTAAATCCTTTATGTAAGAAAAGCGTTTTTTAATCACACTTGGATGGGATTTGCCTTCAAAACGTGATCGGAAATGGTTGCGGTGTTTGTAAACAACATTTGTAAACATTTCAGTGACAGCTAGAAAAGATAATCTTGATCCGAACAGCTGTTCGTTATTTCATAGATGATTATGTGATAAAAATTGAACGAAAACTTGACAAAAATCGCACAAAACTGCATTTTTGAACGTCCGTAATTTTAATTACAAAGTAGTGAGGCCATATTTTAATGGCTAAAGACACTCTTGCCAATCCAGTGAATACATTAAAATGACTTGGGTCTTGATAGGTACTCTCGTTTTCCTGAAGAAGATTGCGTAAAATGCCATCTTGAGTGTTACAGAAAGACAGAAAGACAGACATACAGACAGACAGAAATTTAGATGAGACTTGTTTCGGCTTCTTTAATGTATAAAACGTAAAAATAACCTAAAAATTTACGATTCTGAACAATGTACAGACAAAACTCTAATTTTATTTATATAGAAAGGTTGTTACGGAATAAAATAATTCACATTTAAATAACATGGGAATCTAGGTCATGTGTGCTTTGAAATGAAAAAAAAATTAAAGTGCTTTTGCTGAAAACGTACGTTTTTAAATTTTCACTCATATCCAGCTGCACTGCACGTAACGTGGCTTTGTGGCTAGAATGGGATCTCTATTCCTCAAAACCTTTAGAATTGCTTCCACTTTTCTGGGTGAAAAAGAGAATCCCTAGTCATATATGTATTAGTGTGGGCTGGGGTGTATCATTCGCTAGACTGGCCTGTTAAAATTGAAATAACTTTTGAAAACTGTTAATGTGTACCTTAGGATGAAAAAATTACTTGTTGCCAATTTTTTCATTATTAAATATAACCCCAATCCAAGATGGCTACCAAACGTTGCAGAAACGTGACTGTAAATTAAGATATAAGTGTTATCACTTTTCTTAACAATGATAATTATATATTTTTTGTGTTTAGGCATTGTAGGAACAAAACCAGTTGCAAGATAAATTTTTAACTTTTGAGAGTATAACGCCCACTGATATTTGTGCGAATTCGTGTTAAAATTAACTAAAATTTTACAGAACGGCAAAATGTTTTTAAGGAACGACAATTTAAAAATGAAATGCTATTTATACTACAGCCTCATTGTGTAATACATTACTGTGAATAATAGTGTACTTGGCAAGTCAAAATATTTAATAACAAAACTTATTCAAGTTTATCATGCTTTACACCTTTAAACCAAATTTCATCAAAATCGGACAAAAATTATTCAAGCAGGGTGTCCACATTCTGGAAAGTCAGGGATAGTCATGGAAAAAAATTCTGGTCATTGGAAGTCATGGAAATAGGCAAAAAGTCATGGAAAAACATGGAAATCCCCAATGATGGCTGGATTTGAGGGGACTTTTCAATGCTCTAGTTGGCTGTAACCCTGAAGGCGAGAGGAAATAGGAATTAGAAAATTAAAATATATTCAAGCAGTTACTTGTTCAAAGTTTAGCCTGACAAATGTAGGCTAAGATTGATGCAACAATTTGATCAACAAGTCAATTTGAAAGATTAATCTAAACACTTTTCAGACTCCCTGGAAGAAGGGGCACCTGTCGCAGCTGAGCCGACCCCATCCACCAGCTCAGGGTCTGGTACACCTGGTCCGGTGCCTCGCGTCTCTCTTGGTGACAGCAAAGGTAAGCAGCTACATGGCTAAGGCTACTTTTGACATGTATATAATATAAATACCTCATCACAGCTATGAAGTTTCTGTAGATTATAGCTGTTTCGGCATCAAAATGCCATCCTTAGATATACATACATCCACCTGAATTGGCGTCGTTAAACTGTACACACACACGAACACGATAAAACCACAAAAACACGTAAAACAAGAGACAGGCATGTCGCGTACATGATTGCTACGAGTACATGATCAGCTTCCGTACTCGTAGCAATCATCAGGGCCGGATTTCCCAATAGACCCGGTAGGCCCGGGCCTATGGGCGCAAGGTCCCAGAGGGCGCACGGCCGGAGTATTTTTTTTATACCTAGGCTATCTAAAAATAAAAATAAATAGTCATAGTTGATAAAAAAAACTCCAAAGCATTGTGATTCTGAAGTTCATAAGAAGAAATAATTGTTAAACTATATTTTCAGAATTACGCATCAATTTCGTTGCAAAATTGCTAACGAACATTGGTTATACGGGAGTAGGCTGTAGGGATGTTGACGTTGACGAGCGCCCAAGGGGTACGCATCGTATTGCCACTGCACTGCCACTATGCTGGGTCGGGCTCGGCACTACTGATCAGAGTGATAAGGAGCGCATGCGTGCTAGACATGACATTGTTACCACCCTCACATCACAAAACAAAAGTTATTTATTAACTAATCTTTTGATTAGTTTACAACTATCTGCAGGATCAAGTTAAAATATATCATAGGCTAAGTTTTGTTGAATATTAAAACAACAATAAATTTATCTTTAAAATTAACGAAAAAATATTAATCTCAGTTTGCATTCAATTTTAGAAAAATTCAATACCCTCCAAAGAACCATTAATGCTGTAATTTTCTCCTCAGGCCTAAGGATCGGTACGGTTGGCCGGAATATTGCTCTGTTTTGCTTTGGAAGTATAACCTAGATGCAGTACGACCATGGATTAAATATAACTCAAGTCGACTTCTCATAACATTGTCAATTCAAAATTTTTCCATGTGTAGTTCATGTTGTGACACTGGACGTTAGTTTTGACGTAATTTTGTTTCTATTATTTTAGGGTTGGTTCTATGATGTGTGTTTTAATTTCTTGTAATATAAACAGGAGACGGCCTATTGTTGATGATTAGATCGTTTTATTTTGGTTAAACTAGATTTAAACATAGATAAACATCCCCATTAAATAACAAGAATTGTTTTCAGCTAATCCAAAATGATGACAAATCTACTAAAGGAGTACGTATGTTTAATCTATGGTGTCACGTACTGTATAGAGTTCATGCTTTTGGGCCAGGAATAATTGGAATCAATGGCCTTGTTTTTTTGCAGGAATGCTCGGTGGGTTCAGTTGTTTTGTTTCAGTCCCACCCCCTCGGCCACAAACGTGAGCAATTATAAAAAAAAACATAAAATTGCTAAAAGTGTTTAAGACGGTATTTTGTTAAGGCTAAACAAGTCAATTCTAAAAAAAAAACTTGCAATGATTCCAACGAGGAGTGGTATTCAAGCAATTATAACTTAGGCCTATGGGCATGATATAGTTTTTAATAAAGGTTTGAAGGAAAGTAACTGTGACCAGACTAGGGAGCGGAAAATTATTTGGGCCTAGGGGCGCAAAAGTGCTAAATCCGGCCCTGGCAATCATGTACGCGACAGGTCTGTCTCTTGTTTTACGTGTTTTTGTGTTTTTATTGTGTTCGTGTGTGTGTACAGTTTAACGACGCCAATTCAGGTGGATGTATGTATATCTGAGGATGGCATTTTGATGCCAAAACAGCTGTAATCTACAGAAACTTCAGAGCTGTGACGAGGTATTTATATTATATTAGTTATAAATGAACTTAAATTTATAAATTAAGACTAAGTTAAGGCTAGGATTATACTAGGACGCTGGCGTCCGAGAGGCCAGCGTCCGGGACGCTAGCGGGGCATTAAATCAAATGGGGGCGATTATACTATGGATGCTAAAAAAAACCACCGGACGCTCGAAGCTATTACCGTAGGTGGCATGGTAAGACCTAGGCCCGGGACCGATTTACATTTTCATTTTGATGTCCCCAGAGGCCAAAAACACCGTCCGTTCGTATAGATTTAAATATTATATATGTCTGTAAACGCGATAACTGGAGTAACTTTTGTCCTATTTTGAAGAAATTTGGTTTTAAGGTGAAGGGTGGGATAAACTTGAATGAGTTCACCCTCAAACAATCCTGACGTACACCCCAAACTAGTCTCTAAAACCAACTGACTCCATCGACGCCAGGCTTGCCACTGTCGTGCTCCAAAGTTGAAAATTTTTCCCAAATGGTCGTGACGCCAAATCGAGGGACAGACTTATTTTTTCATGGTAGTCAGTCTGCAATGACAATAAAATTATAATAGGCCCCTATGCTCCTTTTTTGTAAGTTTAATAACCATTGATGACATAAAAATATGGCTTTATATATTTCGGCATGAATAATTAGTCTAAAAACAGCGTGAAAGTTGGAAAATGTACCCTAGGGACACGTCATGGTCGTGAATTTCGAGACTTTAAAAATACGAAAAAAATAGACCCAGTGGGGCGGATTCCTGAGAGACTTTTTTAACGCCATATAGATGTTGGCGCTCACCGGTATGGTCTTTATCACCATGCAAAATTTGAAAACGATTGATTCAGCCGTCTAGGAGGAGTTTGCGTATTACGAAATGCATAAGAGTCGACGTATAAGAGCTATGGTGTGTCGTCTGTATTCCCATAGTATCCATATGGATACTGTTTTTCTTTTGTATTTTCTTCGATATTAGTCTGTTTTCATCTTTAGTCTGCACAGTGATAAATATAGGCCTATAAGTGTTGTAATGCTTGTTTCAGTCCGATATTAGAAATCATAAAATATAAACATGATGTGTTTTACAGATGAATGACAATGAAGAAATTGACGAGTGGCTTATGATGCCATCTAGTGATATTGTAGTAAAGTTTTTTACATAATATGTCTATTTGTATTCATTCTAAATGAATTTGTTTTAATTGATGAACAAATAACTTATTTTTCAATTTGACACAACTTTTAAGAAACTTGTATCCATATGGATACTATGGGAGTGTCAAAGAAAAATTAAAATTATTAACGTAGTATGAAAATTAGCGAACAATGGTACTTAAGGTTTCCATGGTATCCATATGGATACATATTTCTAACTTTTAATTCTATGAGGGAAATTTGCAAAAAAACACATTTTTAGCCTTGAAATACAAAAAATAAAAATAAAATTCACAATAAACTTTTTTGTTATTCAATTTCATAAGTCCGGGAAGTAAAGGGATGCGACGTTTGGCCTATTTCAAGAAAACCATGATAATTTTCACTATTGTCTTTGCTACCGGGCGTCACAAATGTGCGACATTACAAAAGGTTATAAAAAATACAAAAAAAAACAAGAATAAATTATTTACAAACACAATTGTAGCACATTACAATGTAAATGATCACTGTTTTACAGGTTTTCACCCGTGGTCTGTGTGTACTGTTAACCAAGTGTCAGCCGGTCTATGTGTAAGATTCAAATGTATACCTCGGTATGTGGCAATGACTGCGGCGTTGCATATATGCGACACTCAGTAGCGAATGTGTTAAGCATACAAGTTTTAAATTTTGTATTTTATTTTTCAGACAACTCCAAAAGATGTATGGAGGAGGACGCAGGGAGGTCCCCTAAAATATTTAAAAAAACTACAACAGCTGGAAATGAATGCTGCGTCAGTGGAAAGCACACTTGTGTTTTTCGGCAAGGGCCAGTATCTTTAACGGCCCTTGCACATAGTCTGTGCGCCATGTCAAGTAAGTGTACCTAATTTTGTGTGTCTTTTATAATTATTTATTATGCTTTTTAATCAAAATCCAGGTGAGTTAGCTGTGCCGTCTTTATCCAAGTTCGATGATTCTTTACTACTTGAGTTATCTTTTTGGTTTTAGGCCACTTAAATAGCCTAGGCTAACTGTTTGCACTGTGGAATAAAACATAGACTCTAAGGGTTGGTTATTTAACTTACAGTTTCACCATAAAAATATTTCTGACTTGTTTCACATTTTAAATTCACATTTTAAATAAAAAACACAATTTAAGTTTCAATACTATTTATTATAAATTTTAATTAACATTGACAGAAATACATTTAGGCTGCAGTTAATGAGCCGACATCTCTGAATCAGAAATCAAATACACTCAAAAGAGAATACACAAAGACCAAAGAGTAATACCTCTAAACATGGACTTCACTATATACATATATCAACATCCCCTCTCTTTTACAAAATTGAAAATTTTAACTTTCCAAAATACAACTTTAACATTTTCCTTTCAAGTCTAACAAAATATACACCAAAACCTAATCATAAGAAAACCGCTTTGGATTTCTTATCAATCTACCCTTTCGGCTTACACAACCATCAAAACTTTTAACAATTTGTTCTTCTGATGAAATTCTAAGAGTTAGGTCTACTGGTCTTTGAAACAACACGGGACTAATTTGCGGAGAAATAAGGCTATTACCATACCATTAGTAGGCCTACCTGACAAACTGATTTGTGAATCTGACTTAGGACTTGTTTCAGGCATTATGGTTTCATTACCTGCATCATTAGACAAATTTGGCCTAATCATCTTCCTATTTCTTACAAACATTTTATCTTTCTCATCAGACAAAACATAGGATCTGGGGATTCTATTTTTTTCTACTACTTTTCCTGATGTCCAAGGTGAATCAACAGTTTTCTTAAAATACACTTTGTCTCCTATATTTAAAGAGGGTAACTCTTTGCTATTTCTATCATAGTACTTTTTAATACAATTTTTTCTCTTGTCTAACACAATTTTGTTAGGTTTTGTGTTTTGTTACTTTAGGCTGCAAACTACTTTTAGACAGTGGCAATAGGCCATTGAGTTTTCTACTAAACATTAATTCTGCTGGTGAAGGTTGATATTGTTTACTAGTGTTACGATAACTTAACAATGCAGGATACACATCAGACTTAGATGCTTTTGTTTTCTTCAGTACATTTTTCGCTATTTTGACACCTGACTTAGATTGAACATTAGATTGAAAGTCTTTTGGACTAACTATCACTAGCTTAAAATCTTACAACACAGAAAACTCGTGAAAAGCGTTAGAAGTGAATTGACTTCCTGAATCAACTACTATAGTAACAGGAATTCCGTGGCGAGCAAATATTGATTTGCATTTCTCGATTACAGTTTTTGAGGTTATGTCTGACAAAGATACTAACTCAATATTTAGAATAATAGTCCATTAGTACAAGAAAATATTGGTTATCAAACTCAAAAATGTCACCTGACACTTTATGCCAAGGCAAATCTGGTACATCATGAAACAACAACGGTTATTTTGCATTCATAGGCTTAAACTTAGACAAACACACTACATTTATTTACAAAACTTTCAATGTCTTTATGTAAGGTGGGCCAATACAATAAATTGTGTGCCCTAATCTCACACGTTTGTTTTCCTAAATGGCCACAATGCAAAATTTCAAGCTTAATTTTATGAAGCGAACTATAGGTACCATAATAGATTGATTTTTGAAAACAAGATCATCTACAACATGAAGATCATGTTTAATACTCAAAAATGGTAAAACCATATTACTGATTTCAGGCTTTTGAGGCCAACCTTTAGATATATACATCTTTAAAATACCTAGACATTCATCTGAACTGGTTTTTTCTCTTAGCAGGTTTAGTTTACTTTCAGACACGGGAAGATAAGATTTTAACATATTTACCTCACAAATGATGTCCTCATCTAAAACATCAATATCTTCTTTACCTTCTACTGGAAGTGCTGCACGTGACAGTGTATCAGCTATATACATCAATTACCTGGCTTGTATACAACAATCAAGTCATAGCATTGAACTTTTAGCATCATTCGCTGTAATCTTAAAGGAGCAGCAGTAATGGGCTTCCTAAACAAACATTCTAAGGGTTTGTGATCAGTTGCAACAGTTACTTTCCTAGAGAAAATAAATTGGTGAAATCTAGTGCAACCAAAAACTATGGCTAACATTTCTCGTTCTATCTGACAATAATTTGACTGAGTCTTAGTGAGCGCTCTAGACGCATACGCAATTGGATTATCACCACATAACAATACAGCACCTAAACCAGTTGAGGAACAATCTACAGACAATGTTATTGGCTTACTTGGGTCCTAATATGATAAAACAGGAGGAGATACTAACTAAGACTTTAAAGTCAAAATAGTTATTTGTGTAACTAGTGGTGAAAGTGGCACTTTGCTGCACACGAGAGCAATGTTTACGAGCTATGTTTGGCGAGTGTGGAATGATCTCGAGTGCAGCAAAGGCCTTTTTCACCCGTGTTACACATTATATTTTTCCTACAGTCACTATAAAGCATATCAATAATTAGTCTTTCAAACACTATACAACACGTTTTTAGGTTCAGCTGGCAACACAAAAAGTAGTACCTGCGGTCCGTATCACTCCGCTATTTTTCCTCGGCAAGAAATGTGCTACGCGTTTTGAGAATATAGTTCCGTATGTTTTTGTAATTTGAAGTGGTTTCCGCGCCTAAAAAAATGCTTTTAAGGTGTTTTCTTGTTTATTAAGATCGTTGGAATGTTTTAAAAACGTGTTTCAAAGAAAAGTCCAGAAAGTTCAGAAATACCGAAATTATAAACACGAAATGACAAGTTAAATCGTAGTTATAATAGTCAATCAGCTGCTCATAGTATTATTATCTTTAAGTGTTGCCAACCTATTTCCAAGCGTACACGGATTACGTGCATAATAGAACCACACTGTTTTGTGTTGTTTCGTTGGAATCCTGATGTGCGGCAAAGTATAAACCGTACGACAAAGTATAAACCGTACGGCAAAGTATAAATATGCAGCAATTAGCAGCTTTCTGTACGATAAACAGTACAAGGAAGCCAACTTTGTCGGGTGACTGTAGGAAAATGCATTTTGTTGTTCGGCATTCCATTGAAATAAAACATCTTTATGTGAAAGAACTCGCAAAGGAGACGTTACAGTAGAATATTTGGAATAAACTTTGATAAGTAATTGGTAACTCCTAAAAATCTTTCCAAGTCTTTACGATCTTTAGGTATTGGCATCTCCTGTACAGCTTTAAGCTTTGAAGGATCCGGAGTTAATCCATACTCAGTAAACCGATGACCCAAAAACAAAACTTCACTTTCAGAAAATTTACATTTCCTAGAGTTAAACTTAATATTAAAATCCTTAGCTCTTTTTAATAGGCCTACTTCTTTTAACCTTAAATCATGAGTTTGCTTATCAGGAGCACCCTATGCAAATGTCATCTATGTAGGTGACTACACCATCAATACCTTCAAATATTTGAGATACAGTAGAATGAAATACATCTGGTGCGCTTGAGATACCATATGGCAAACGAAGGTATCTATATCTACCAAAAGGTGTATTAAAAAACACAACTTGCTACTAATATTATCCAACTTAAGCATCCAAAATGCACTGCTCGCATCAAGAGTTGAAAATATCTTACAATTATTAAACTTTGATGACACTTCATCTATAGTTGGCATTTGACAGTGTGTTCTTTGTATATACTTATTCAGGTTTCTTGGATCTAATACTACCTTTAGTCCAGAATTTTTTTGTTTATCAAAACTAAACTGTGAACCCATTCTGTAGGTTCATTTTCTTTTACAATAATTCCATTAGCTTCCATTAATTCAAGTTCATTTTTCAATGGATTTAACAAAGTGAATGGTACTCTACGACATGGTTCAATAATAGGCTTAGCATCTTCACTTAATGACAAATGAACTGTTGTAGGAATGTTACCAATATTGTACTAGTAATACTACCATCAAAAAGTGAGCTATATTCATTCAAAATTATACTAACAGAATGTGACTGTACACTTTCATTTTTTCATTACATTTTCATTACCTTTCATTACACTATGCATATTTTTCCCTAGAACAATATTATCTACACTTTGGTTCTAAGATCAGACAATACCTGACCGTTGTAGGCTGCTATAAGACCTAACGCGCGACAAGAATTTAAGCCTAAAATTTGCGAACATTTCACATCAACTATTACAAAAGTAATACAGAACATTTTCCTGTTGAAAGAGCAATCTAAATCTACAATACCTAGTACCGGTATTTTTTCACCAGTTAGTGTACTAAGTTTTATATTCGAGGTGCGTATTAATGCCTTTGATAGGCCTAGCCTATTAAACAAATCAATTGGGATGATATTTGTCTGAGCACCTGTATCTATTTTAAATTATATTGTGTGTTCCCTAATGTTCAAATTCCTTAGCCCATTCCTTAGCCATTCATTAGCCCTGGATTTACACATGTAATTTTTAGAAACAGAATCATTCACTGAACATATATTACTGATAAATAATTTACTGTACACTGTACTGCTGTACCTTCTAACGTTACAAAATGGTGTAGTCTTACGACGCGTTTCGTCAACACAGTGACATCTTCAGGTGATCCACTATCGCTTCGTCTTGAACTTTAGCACAAAACAGTCATAACACATATCACGAACACATATTTACTACATTTAAGGACCGATCGGTATTGTCGTCTCTGTGGCCACAACTCGCGTACGCACATGATTAATTCTGGGCGACGACTGCTGGATGGAGTGTTGTATGTGGTGTACTTTGCACCATGACGTCATTGCTCTTCTCCAGGTGTATCACGGTGTCGAACAATGCATTTCCTTGAGTATTAATTTTGTCATTCAGTACATTGTCTGGTTCACACTGTACTGCTTTATAA